GTAGGAAATGAATAGGGGACCCTATTGATTTAGCAATTGAAGAGTAATAAAATAGGCTTTCCAGAAATACGACATTGCGAGAAACACATACACAACGAGTTATTGGATCATAACATAGAAAATCCTTTTAGTCGGGACAATAACTCACAAAAACACAAGTGGCTACTTAAATAAAAAATTATGTTATTTCATGTGCAGAGATATTAACAAAACAAACACGTCAAAAAACATGCAAGAGAGAATAATAAAAAATGAACATGCAATAATGAATAGTATGGAGATTCTTTATACAAAAATGAGAAGGAGAGACGATTTATGAGATAAATAGTTGTTGATGCAATTTCAACTAAAAAACTACAAGGAATACGAAGTCATGCATAACGGTCCTAACAACTTCCAAGATATGGTGGTTTTTCTTTTAGCTATGCCATTTTATTGTGGAGTACAAAGGCAAGTTTTTCTGTGATTGAATACCCTGAGTTTTCAAATATTCATGAAAATCATGTGATAAGTATTCCCTCCCAGAGTCTGACCTTAAAGTTTTTACTTTTGTATCAAACTGGGTTGCAACCGTGGATAAAAAAGTTTTGAAATGGGATAACATTACATATTTATAGCACATAAAGTATATCCAGGTATAATGTGTACAATCATTAACAAGCAAAACAAAATGCTTATATCTCATTCTGGATGAAATTAGAACATGATCCCATACATCACTATGAAAAAGATGTAAATGTGCAGTTGTTTTATCTACTCTAGTAGCAAAAGGCAAACTAGTGCTTTTATTCAAAGAACAACTAATATAAGATTTATTGATATAATTTAAGGCAAATGCTTTATTAAGCAATAAACCATAACGAAACAAAGTATCTAATTTATTTACGTTCGATGACCAAGTCTCTTATACCACTTATACCATTGTTGATTAGAAATAGAAATATCAAAATCTGATCGAGAAAAGATAGAAGCATCACGGTTTGGTTTCTCAAACTCCAAAGCAAATAGACGACCAATTCTACACCTCTTCCCTTTTACTAACCCAGTGCGTAGGTCTTGTATTACACAACTATCACGAGAAAATTGAACATTATAACCATCATCAACAAGTTGGCACACAAAGATTAAATTAGCAGTTAATTTAGGAACCAAGCGAATATTAGGTAAACGAAAAAGTGCACCAGGGGAGACACAGAATGAGAGACTATCAGTACCGGTAATATTCATTTTCTCATCATTAGCTGTGAGAATATGACTATTATCTTGATATGGTTTGGCAGATGATGAACTATGTGCACTCCAATCATATGACTAGAGGCACCAAAAAAGATTCACATTAGAGGATAAGTGAGAGTTCATACCAAACAAGACCATAGCAGAGAAATCATAAGATATAGTAGACACAGAGTTTTGTACCAATCGTCAATTATCATCTAACATAGTTGTTGTCTGGGACCCGTCGTATTTGGAGCATGAATAGTTCTTGTTGGAGGGGTCTCTGACCTCGTATTTATCATTAATTCCTCTGGTGCATCATTAACAATTTGGTATGTCCTGTAAAAAGGTTTCCTTATATTTGATGCCCGTCTACTTCACTGAGGACGATCACCACACTCCGTGATAATATATCAAAGACGTTTGCAATAATTACAAAAAAAATGATTCTTACAATGTGAAGCTATATGACCATATTCCTAACAGCCATAGCATTACAACAAATATAAGTTCTTTTGTAATAGCTTTCCTTTGGCTCGTTGAGCCACAAATACAAACTGTATATCCTTCTTTCCCTCAATGGCAGCCTATGTTGCAATTATCGTCTCCTCACGAAGTAACTCACTCGCGAAGTAACTCACCTAGGATAACAACCACATTGGGCAGTGTTTCACGATTCAAAATATTGCCTCGAATGATTTTATATTCTAGGTGCAACTTCATTAGGAATTGCTTCACCTTCCTATCATTATTTATCTCATTCAAACTTCAAATGCAACAAGCACTGGAGATAATAGTCATACTTACAGATTTATATTTTGTCCACAAGTTCATAAAACTAGCATAATGTTTTTGGATGTTTTTCTCCTCCTGTCCATAAGTAAACATATCATACTTGGGTCGGAATCGCCTTGCAAGATTTGATTGCTGATAAATCTTTTCAATATATTCCCACATTTCTTTCGCATGACAGAGCCTCTTATTAGCTTGTCAATATCCATATCCACAGAGTCGATAATCCATGAAACAATTTTTACATTGTTGATTTTCATTACTAGGTTTCTTTTGTATTAGATGGATCAGGTTGTGGTTCAGTTCTATCAATAAATCCCCATAAACCTTTTCCTTCAACAAAAAACAGAAAATAGAAGCACCAATCGGGATAGTTTTTCCCATCAAGTTTTATAGCCAACATATCTCATTTCTCATAACCCATGTACAAATTTTATAATTAGAAAACTTGATCTAAGAACAAAACTCAAGTTGAAAACAATAATTTTTTAACAAGCAAAAGTAGCTAAAAAAACAAAAGTGAGGTCAAAGATGTGGAGCTTGACACGGGTCTTTGGATATCGGAATAGGGCTCTCGAAGTGCTGCTCAGAGAGAGAAAGTGGATTTGGGAATAGAAAGAAAAAATTTTATTTTATTTTTTGTCTGAGAGGGAAAAAAATAAAATATTAGATGTCAAATTGAGAAGGAACAAGAAGAAATTTGTCTCTCCTTAAGAAAACCCCTAGGATCTGAAAATATTAAACCAAGAGAAAGATATGTTTCACAGTAAAACGACGTATTTTCCTTTCTAAAGAAAACCCATACTCAGTTTCTAAGTCTCGAATATAGGATCAATAGATTTGTCGCGGAGGAAATTAGAAAGGCAAAAAGCTTTTTCTGCTCTCTATTTCTCTCTCTATATGAAATAAGATGCAAACAAAAAGAGACATAAATAAGATGTAAACTGACTTAAACTTGTGATTGAGCAAAGACACTGCAATGAACAAGTGCAAAAAAAGAAAGAAGACAAAAAAGGAAAGATGACAAGAACAATGGGATCTAGAGATACTGCAGGGCAATTTAAAAAATTTGATAAGAAGAACAAAAAAAAAAAAAGCGCAAACTGATCTTGCTTCGAGAGAGAGATCCAAGATGGCCGCAAGGATGGGAAGAGATCAACTTGTCTTGAATACTTTGAAAATTCCGATAGTGTTGGTTTCGGATGGTGTAGCAGGATGGTCGATCAAGGAAGAAGGAGCCGCTCGCAAACAAGAACAGATAGCAAACAAAAACAAGTTGATAATGAATTTGTGGCTCGGATACCATGTTAAAAATACAAAGAGGTGGAGGAAAAACTTGTATGCATTGACTATTATTAACATGTATATATAATACATCCAAAGGTAACTTGCACATTACTATAAATTACAATAAGTAATATTCTTATGAAATATACACTTTCTGCAATACAATATCTTCAATAGTCACTGCAATATATGATTAGGAGGGGTAGTTTGGTTCTAAAATGATAAGGGGAGACCCAAAATGACATAGATGGAAGTAGTGAGAAAAGATATATTGACTTATGGTCTTATTTCGCGCATGACTATAGAGTAGAATGAAGAAATAAGATTCGTGTAGGTAAACCCAAGTAGTTGGGATAAGTCTTGGATAATTATGATGATACATAAGAGATTTTTTTTTTAAAATTTATAATACTTTAGGAAGTCATGTAAATTGAATAAACTATCAAATTTTTTTTTCATATTTTATCATAAATTTGAAATCCACAATATTTTAGGAAGTTAGGAAGCAATATACATGGTAGAATTAATTTTAGAAACAAAAGAAATGACAAGCTCTAGCAACAAGTTTAGGAGGTTTGATCCTAAAAAATAGGCAACACATTTTTGGGGGAGATTTTAGAAGATGTGATTCTTAAACTGTTTGAGAAAAGTACCTCCACGTGCATGTGAGAGATTGTCGGATTAATTGAAATTAAATACGTTAGGATATAGAAATGGATAAAGACAAAAATTAAAAATATCATGCACAAAAATTTTAGGATATTATTTTAGCCCAAGAACAATAAAATTCATTTAACCTACATATTCCTGAACTGCTTCATCAAGATAAGATTCATTTTATCTCAGTTACCTTAAGGCATGTTTGAATTATAATTCACTATTTTACCAAAGCTAATTTTAACAATGAAATGTCATGTCTGGTAGCGAATATTATAAGATTGTATGAGATAATCATAAAGACAATTTTAGATACAAATTTATCTTTTCAAAAAGCTGTTTTTACTTACATTCCAAGCAATTTGTTGGAAAACCATATATTCTTAGCGAGGAATAGCAAAAAAAACACCTGAATTCACCAAAAATAAATAAATAGTATTACATATAAAGAGACGAGATAAAAAAAGGCCAGATAAGGGAAATGTTTCTATGTGACCCTAACAATATATAAATTAAGTTATATGTGATCCCACTTCTTAGCTGTTTGATCTTAATTGAATGACTACGATTGTTTATATAACACTATCATGTTAAACATTGTTTTATTTTTTATTTTTTATCTACAAAATATTTTTGGATAAAATTTCGACTTCCCGTCATAAAATTAAGGTGAATGGAAAGAATAAAAAACAAATACTTTTTTAAAAATAAATAACCAAAATACACTTGCAAATTTTAGGAGTATTTTGGTAATTTTTTAATACTGAAAATATTTTATTATTATTATTATTATTTATCATATAAGGCCCTATCGGATCTACGCATGTCCCAATTTTTTTAAAAAATTATTTGTAAAATAAAAATAAAAAATAAAAAACTACAAGCCATCTAATCTTACGGTTAGACTCAAGCCATCTCTGCCGTCTACTTACATCTGATAGCTGAGTGAGGTCACATAAAAAGCTTCCCCTAAACATAATACAACATATGGCCGAAACGGCTAACAGAACGGATATTATCTAGAACTTATTTACTCGAGCCTAGAACTTGTTTACTCGAGCCTATGTGAAAACATCCCAAAACGCATGGGTTTGAATTTTGAAACAATAGTACTTGGGTCCAATGGAGTGAACGCAGGATGCGCTCCCGCGGGAGCACACAGTTTCCGCGCCAACGTAAATTTTTGGCGCCAAGTTTTTTGGGCTGCGTGTTGGCCCATTTCTGAGGGGCCAAAAAGCTTGTTTTATGTCTTCCCCCTTTCCCTGTCTATGTCTAGGGTTTTGTTACAGATAAAAAGACTGTAATTTTTTTCTCTCTCTAGGTCTAGGGTTTTGTTACAGAGGAAAAGTGTAGTTGTGCAAATCGAAAGGAAGCAAATGGGTGTTGTGAAACGCAGGAGGCTCCACAATATTGAAGAAAAGAAGCCAAGAAAAGCAATAAAAAGTTCTGTGAAGAAAGAAGAAGAAGAAGAAGAAGAGAGGAAAGATGGTGTTGTGAAGAAGGACAAGCCAAGAAAAGCAATAAAAGGTTATGTGAAGAAAGAAGAAGACGAGACGAAGAAAGATGGTGTTGTGAAGAAGGACGAAGAAGGGATGACAGAGTACGAGCGCAGGAGGCTCGAAAACATAGAAAAAAACCAGCTGATGCTCGCCTCTCTTAACGTCCAATCCCTCCTATCCTCGGTTCCTACCAAGCATCCCAGGTCTCTCTCTTTTTCTCTCTCTAGAATGTTATTCTTTGAAGTTTCAGTTCTTGTGGTCCTGTTTTCCTATTTTCAGGCTCTCTCTTTCTCTCTCATGGATTTCCCTTCCGCCATTTTCTATAGCACCATTTATCTGTATATGACGGTTCCTCTTTTTGATGAATTTCCCTCAAGCGCTCTCTAAATTTGACGATTTCTAACAGCACTCTGGATATATCTCTCAAAGTTTGCCCTCTACTTCCCTCTAACATTTCATCATTCTCATGGTGCTCTTTTTATCGATTTTCAGGGTCTCTCTTGCTTTGCCTTTTAAGTTTTCCCTCTTAAATTTCCTTTTAAAATTGCGGTTTATTTACTCTCTCTCTCATGGAACCAGTTCTTATGGCACTGTTTATTTATTTCAAGGTCTCTGTTTTTGAAGGTTTTTGCTTTTTTCTCTGATTTTTTTTTCTCTGAAATTTTACCGGTCAATTTTAACAGTTTTAAGTTCATATGTTTCTGCTCCAGTTTCTTTCTCATGAATTATCTGACATTTTAGCAATTGTGCTAGTCCCTATATCTTCCACGTCTCTCTCTCTCTCTCTCTCTCTTCTTTTTTGATGTTTATAGCTCTTATCTGCTTTTCTGTCCATTTTCAGGGTGGACCCCAAGGGTTATAAGAAAACCCCAGAAAGGAAACAGTCAAAACAGGGTCCTGTTGTTCTTCGAAGGTCTCTCAGAGCTAGAGGGTTCCCACCCGATGCATCTTCCGCCAATGGCCTGCATGATGACGAGCCTTGTATAAACCATCTCTCTTTATCTTCTTCTACCTCAGTACCGATTAGAAAAATATTAGGTTCTTTCACCATGGAAGAAGTATATGAGACCAAGAAAGATGATGCTTCGAATAAGCATTTCATCGACACAATAATCAACCTTTCTGATAAGTCCCCATTATCAAGAATTGGAGCGAAAAACATTGAGGCTTTTGAGGTCGGACAATTAAGATTGAGAGCGGAGAATGTTGCAAGGTTAGTACCTGGAAGAATTTTCAGTTTAGCATTTTTCCCATTTTGTGAAAGGTCAGTTGTGGTGGCTGGTGGCAAGTTTGGGCATGTGGGTATTTGGGATACTGATCAAAAAGAAGAGGATGGGGTTCACTCATATTGCCCTCATTCAGCCCCTGTTTCGGGTGTTGTGGTTTGGCCATTTCATCTCACAAAGGTATGCTCAGTCTCTCTCTCTCTCTCTCTCTCTCTCTCTCTCTCTCTCTCTCCCTTTCCATTTTTGTGTTCTAAATTAGTATTTTTTTCATTAATCAGAGAGTGAGCTTTACATGTGTAATTTCTTTAGAAAAATGTGGCATATCCAGTAGATTATTACAAACAATCAAAACTGTATAATTGCCAAGAAGGGTTTGTTTACACCTTCTCTTGCTAGAATATAACCAAGTTCATTGCCTTCTCTTCATGCATAATAAAGATGTCCTGATTCTACTAATGATGTAAAAACTTTCTCTAAGATATTTGCAAGTCTTCAAGAGTATTCCATTTCATTATTGGCCATTTGATTACCTAAGATATTTGCAAGTCTTTGAGAGTATTCCATATCATTATTGGCCATTCGATTACATTCTCATAACTCCCCTCTATTACTTTGAATGTCAACCTAGCCCAATGGCTCCCAACCCTGCTAACAGAGCTCGTGCTTCTGATTCGCTTGAATCACTGGCAGATAATGGCCCTGAAAATGTCATCGGTGTTTTACCTTAATGATCTTGAACACCCCCCAAACTCTTGCCTGGCCTGGATTTGCGATTGAGCTTTCATCAGAGTTTCGTTCATGCCATATGTCTTTTGGTGTGGTCCGACTTGCATTCCTTGACTAATGGCATGCCATACTTCATAAGATGACCAAAATTCTTCGCTTACCGTTATCCAATAAATAATGGCTGCCCTTATCTTATCAATTAATGATTCAGTTGTGTATTCCTCTCTACCATTCATCATCAGCATCATCATCTGAGCCTTATCCCAACTTGATGTAGGGATACCAATTAATGCAAGGAAGAAGGGGAAGAAAAATAAATAAACCGGAAAAATAAAAGACAAGAATAAAGATTGAGAGTATATACCCTCTCTCAGGGTTGGCAAGGGAGTCCACCCCAAAAAAGATCTTTTCACAAGATCTAAAATAAAATGTTATTTTCTTCACTCTCTTTTTATTGGCCCAAGAGTTATATATTTATAAAAAAAAAAATACCCTAAAACCTAACCTGTTACTTAAGAAACCCTAACTAAATTGCGACCCTTCATCTGAAGAAAAATAATAAAGTTCCAATTTTATTCGTCAATTATTTGCAACTAGAAACGACATAAATATTCTAAAAGAAAACTAGAAATCCAAAATAATCCTAAAATCTAAGTTTCAATTTAAAAAAAAAAAAAAACCTAATTACATCATTCTTTTGGGATTAGGAGAAGCTCAACCTAGAGCTTGTTGAGTTCATCATATCCTCTCCAATAGTTAGTGATGACGTCCCATAATTAGCCTTGATACTTTATCTTCTTCAATGAACAATCAACCAAAGACTTTGTGGGCAAATTATAGTGGAACTTTTTGCTGTCTAACATTATTTTCATTTCTCTTTACAACTCCTGATGTAGGTTGTGGATCTTGCCTCAAAATTTGCTCATTACATTCAAGATTGGCATCTCTAGTTGGTTGCGAGATAAAACTCGTCTCTAAGACAAGGTTTTGTGCCAGATCTATGTGGTTGTGAGCACCCTCGTCTTGATGAATAGTATTTTCCAATCATTGTAACTGCAGATTCATTATGTCAATCCCTCCTTGAATTATGTGAAACTCTCCTCAGATACCATCCATGGATTGATTTATGCATTTTATGCTGTCGTGAAAATGTTGTTCTACAACTTTTATAATTTGTGGCAATAGATCATCAATCACAGGAGTAGGTTTTGGTGGCATTGATGGATGGATCTTGTAAAGCTCTTATATGAATTGATGTAGGGTAAGGGGAAAGAGAATAAATAACTAGAAAAATAATAAACAAGGATGAAGATTGAGATAATAAACCCTCTTAGGGTCTACATGAGAGTCAATCCTAAAAACCTAAAAACTATCTCTTCACAAGACCCAAGATAGACTTTTATTCTCTTCATTCTCTTTTTTTTTGATCCAAGAGTTACATATTTATAAAAGAAAACAACCCTAAAGCTTAATTTGTTTGCAAAGAAGCCTAACAAAATCCCAACCCTTCTTCGTTAAAATAAAAAAAATAAAGTTTCAATTTTGCCCCTCAATTCTCTACATATAAAAGACATAAATACCCTTAAGAAAACTAGAAACTCGAAATAATCCTAAAAAAATCTAAATTTCAATTTTTAAAAGAAAATTAAAAAGTCTAATTACATCATAACTATTTGAGCAACTATACAAGTCATGTTCCCCCATTCCGTCTATCAAGGGCCATAACAATATCGTTGGATCATGATTCATGGTAGGGGTGGTAAAAACCTTTCATGTTGTGATGACCTAAAAAAAAAAAAAAGAATATATATAATATACGTGGGAGGCAAGGCGACAACAGGGAAGTAGG